GTGGGCTTTAATGAAAAAAGGCGCAAAGGGAGAAAAAAATACAAGTATGCATGTTTAGTCCAAGACTAATAATTATAAACATGAATGACAAATATATGACCAAAGAAATTGAATTTTTTTAATGATAAAGTAAAATATCAATTGTTTAGTGTCACTTCTTCAGAAGAGGTTCATTGGACAGTAAAAGTTTGCCTTAGAACCTTGATGACGACACTGAATCGCACATAAAGCGAGGCGAAGCGCACAACAGGTTTTGAGCCTCGCTTCAGGGCTTAAGCGAGCTTAAAGCGCGCCTTTGACTACACTGGTGGATCCTACCACACTTAGTACATGCAGGATCCCAGTTACCTCCATGTGCCACACTACCTTGAGACTGTGCAGGTCTAGCTCTGAAGTTCTGTGAATCTGGCCATTATACTCACCTTGTTTCGGGGTGCAGGTGCACTAGCCAATGATGGAACAAGTCCTTTTTGCTTTTGCTGAAAGGACGAATGGTTCACATTACCCTTCTGCTGCCCAGACTCATTCCCTGTCTTTACTTTCTTACTTCTGAACTCTTCCCTGTCACTCAGCGTCTCTTCGTCAACCTGCTGCACATAAACCATCAACCTTGATATGTCCATGTCACCTATCAACATCGCTGCCTTGCCCTCTTTGCTTGATAGACGGGCCAACCCAGCAACAAACAAACTTATTCTACTCCTCATGTCCTTAACCATTTCCGGAGCATAACGAGATAGTTGGGTGAACTTCAACCCATACTCATGCACACTTAGAGAATCCTACTTAAGTGTAAAAAATTTCCCGTACCTTAGCCTCTTTCAATTCTCGGGGAAAGAAACGTCCCAAGAAAGATTCCTCAAAACAGGTCCAGCTCGCAGGTGGTGCATCCTCAGCTCTACCCTCTTTCCACTGATCAAACCAAGTCCTAGCAACATTCTTCAGTTGATATGCACCTAGCTCAACTCTCCCAGTATCAGCAACATGCATCACATCAAATACCTTTTTCAGTTCCTCAATGAAGTTCTCTGGATCCTCAGTAGTGCTTGTACCAGTGAAGCTTGGAGGATTCATCCTAAAGAACTCACGAATCCTTGAAGTGTCTGCCTCTTCTTGTTGAGCTCCTCTTTGCTGCCCGACCTGGTTAGTCACAGCTTGGCTCAACATCCGGATAGCCTCACAGAACTCAGCATTGGTGACTTCTCCTTGAGGTAACAACTTTAGGGGCATTGGGTAACTCTTGTTCCTCAACATTGCGTCTCGCAGGACAACCTCTGACAGCTCTTCGTGGAGGCATGATTATCTGAAAACACGCGCAAACACGAATTAGAAGAAACTTTTTAGAGATCAAACTGTAACGCACAAAAAGAGTGTGAAAGAAGTGAGATAATTTCCTAAGTGTTGCAGCCTCCTAATTATAGATGTGGCGCGCTTCACACCGATAACTAGGACTCTACAAACACGGCTTCATAGACTCCCTAAGATTCTTGAACTCTGTGCTCTGATACCAAGTTTGTCACTCCCCGGGCCTACACTGGGCGTGGCTGGCCTCAAGCGAACCATTGGCCTGGCTTACTGACTCAGCGGAAGACTGTAGACAGTAATACAATGATCAAATTGAACTTACTCAAATAACTTAGAATGATTAAAAGTCAACATTTAACTTGGCCAAAATGGCTACTCAAGTCTTAACATATGAAATAACAATGTAAAGACATCCGACTACTAACTGTCTATGAAGCCTCTAAAACAAAGAGGGATGTCTAGACAGGACCCCCGATCATCCTAACATTTGAAAGACTAAAAAACAAATAAAAGAGTCCTCCGGAATGCAATGAGGCTCACCAACAAACTCTGAAGGCTCAAGTTGGATCAACGAGGCGCTGGATGCTGATCCTGGTTACTTGCGTCTGCATCATAATAAGATGCAGGCCAACTGGCATTAGTAAATTGAATGTACGAGTATGCGAATTGGAAAGCTAAAGCAAGATATAGGCTTGAAAAGATTCTGAAAGAAACACTTACCTGGCTCTTCTCAACTTCTGAATAACTTAACTCAAATATAAAGCAATAAAGCACATGCAATATATATAAAGCTTATAAAACAGTTGCAACCAACTTAGTTCGTTAAAGATAAAGCAATAACAAACTCAACTTTACTCATATAAGAAAATAATATGGTTTCTGTGGGAGATTCTTTAACTGACAACCACCACTATGAGCCTAAGTGGTGATACAACGTTCTTACCATCACGTTGCCAGGGTGTCCTATACTTTGCCGTCATATAGAACTACCTAACTTAGTGGATCCACTAGCTTAACTTATGTGATCATCTAAAAGTATGACCCATTAATACCCATGATGGCTACATGGTTTATGGAGATTTTGAGTTAATATGAACTCGCATCCCCATATCGGTGCTCAATACTGCTTCCCAAAAAATATACTTAGCTCAAAACAACTTCTTTCTTTGGTTTGAGATAATTACTCAAACTTAGCTTAAAAGCTCTCTTGGAATCGATGTTCCCTTTTCTTGCTCAAATGTGAAAAAATTTATAAAACTCTTTGGGGAATACTTAGTTCCCTTATAGCTTTTTGAGAAATGAACTCAACTCTTCACTCTTTGCTTAACTTGAAACTTAAGTCTTAAAACAAAGTTAAAACGTTTGTTGAAGACTTTTGAAAACTTTAAAAACTTTGCTCGACTCTTAACTTCTCTCTGGCTTTGATCCTAACTTTCCTTGAATTGAATTATGGATTCAAGGTTCATGATCTCATGTTTATGGATGATTTCATGATGTTTAGATGTACCTTAGAGTGTTGGAATCAACTAGAAAACATAGGTACATTGCTAAGGAACAAGAACGAAAAGGTGGGGAACGAAAGGTGAGAACTGGCGTCCCTAGCGCTCTGAGAGGCGCGGGGAGCCAGCCCTCAAAGTTCAGAGAGCTTGCTGTGGCGCTCTGGCTGGCGCGGCGCGCCAGAGCCCAAAGTTCAGAGGAACCTTTGTGGCGCTCTGGGAGGCGCGGCGCCTCTCCCCATCCCCCTCCCCAGAAAACTCCGAACTTTCTTCTTCGTTTTTTAACTCTAAACCCTTTAATTTCTCTTGGTTCTTTCCCCAAACACTTAGAATCATCAATACCCTCAATATATAATAGATTCAACTCTAAATTTCACCCGGAAACATGAATCAAATCATCAAGAAACTTCAACAACACAATCCACAAAAATTCAACGAAACTTTCAACAATGTTCATCAAGAACTCAATTTCTAACTTTCAAAGCCTTAAATTCGCTAAATGTAATCATGGTTGGCGCGTGGGTGAACTAACCCAACGCTATGTGATCTCACATACCTAGTAGGAATAAATCCTTGGCGAAAACCATAACTAAATGGATCGATCTTGATGAATTCTTGCCCTTTCTTCTTCTTTCTCCTCTTTTCTCCTTTCTTTAAGCCCTAGCGTAAAATTCCAATTTCTAAAACTGATTAAAATCTGATTTGACCCATATTAAACTCCTAAAAACGGATTAAAATAATAGGGCAAGGAAAAGACTAAAATACCCCTTAAAAATCCGGATTGGACATTTCCTTATTTGAACAAGCCAACTTCCAAAGGGAATATTTCACTCATACGTACTCGAAATTTCGCAACTTGGCGGCGTTGGAAAGATCATTCCAAGAGTTTTCCAACCATATCTAGAAGTACACCTAACTCATCTTGCGCTAGGAGTTATGGCCGTGTGAAGTTGTCCAAAAACTCACTTTTCCTAACTTAAACAAATTTCCAGATTTGTCACTATTTCCAAAAACGATTATTTCAAGTTCTTAGCTTCTTCTTAGCAATTTCAATTCGCGAGATGTTACAATATCTCCCCCTTGGGAACATTCGTCGCTAGATGTTACACTACAGTTGCAAGGAATATGGTACAACAAATGATCGTGTTAGCCTTTTCAACATGGGATTACAAGGTAATGATGTTACATCTAATTTTTGGATTGTTGATTCAGGTGCTTCCAATCACATGACCAACTCAACGAGCATCCTAAAATATGTTCGTAAGTATCAAGGTCCATCACAAATACAAATTGCCAATGGTAGTAATTTACCCATTACCAAGGTTGGGGACATTACTCCAACTTTCAAGAATGTTTTTGTTTCACCAAAGCTCTCAACTAGTCTTATTT